AAGTGCAACCAATCGTTGCCCAAAATCACATCAAAATCGACAATATCTAACGGAATAAGATCCGCGGGCATAACAACACCCTCTACTATGACTGGACATCCTGGGTACATACAATCTACAACACATCTCTCTCCTCTAGGCATAGCGAACTCTAAATCGTACCCTAGAGGTGTGGGGCAAGGTTGCGTTACTTGAGCAAATGTATGAGAAATAACGGAATGTGTAGCTCCACAATCAATTAAGACTCTAGCAAAATAACCAAGAATGTTTAACGTACCCATTATCAAGTCCGGGTTGTTCTGAGCATCCTGCAGGGAAATATTGTGAATACGCCCCTGGCCCTGCTGTCGTCCGCCACGACCTCTGCTCGCTTGAACACCGCGACCTTGAGCTCCACGCCCCTGACTGGGCTGACCCATCTGTCTCGAAGACCCTGCGCTACTAGTAGCATTCTCACTCTGCTGATACTGTCCTCCTTGGTACCACTGAGAACCACCCGTCGGAGCTGGAGGATACGGCATGTAGTTGCTGGGATACGGGGGATAACCACCTTGTGAATACGGGTCCTGGGGGTACTGATACGGTCCCGGAGCGTAGGGAACAACATCACCCTGATAGTGATAGGCACCACCTCTACCTGCTGGACCATAATTACTCGGACCTTGGATTTGTCGAATCGGTGCAGGTGGCGGCATAAAGGTCTGCTGCGGCTTCTGCTGCTGACTCTGGGGACAATTCACCGCTCTATGTCCCACCTGTCCACATGTGAAACAACTACCGCTAATCTGCCTGCACTCGCCGAAGTGTCGGTTATTACACCTACGGCAAAATGGGGGTCGGTTTCGGCCACCATCACCTTGTCTCTGGCCTCGAGCACCTCCATAAAACCTACCTCCACGTCCTTGTCCAGAGGCACTGAAACCACCACTAGACGAACTCGAACTGACACCACCCCTTTTAAAGTTCTGAGTTTGGCGAGGCCCAAGCGACACTTGACTTTTCCCTTTGTCATCTTTCTTTTCATCACTGTCACTCGACATATTCTCTGAGTCCTCTACCCTCAACAGTATCTCATAGAACTCCTGGTAGGACTCACAGTGAGTAGTAGTGGCCATAGAACGCCATCTCTTCCTAGTGCCCAAGCGAAAACGACGAAGCATCTCCGCCTGATTACCAGCGACATCAGGATAGTAACGAGACAAATCAGTGAACTTACGATAATACTCGTTAGCCGTCATCTTTCGCTGTTTCAACTCAGTGAATTCCTGTTTCTTACGGTCAATATACTCAGGGGGTACAAATCTCCTCTGAAATACATCCTTGAAAACATTCCAATCGGTCCTCTGAGCTGGAGTCAACCTCCGAAGTTCTTGTTCCCACCAAGCTGCAGACTCCATCTCCAGAAACCAAGAGGTTGTCTCAACCCACCTTTCCATAGGAAGGTTCCCCTGGTTATGTAACACCCGGAAAGTCTTCTCTAGGTGTTCCAACCAACGTTCTGCGCCTTCATGACCCTCGTTACCTTTAAACTTATCCAACTTCAGGTTATACATAGTCTCCAGAGGAGTCCTCTGGGGAGGGCGCATCACTGTTTGAAGGGCTGTGGCAATCACTTCCCCCAACTGAGTAAGATCAGGAAAACTAGACTCATCTGAGCGACGTGGTTCCCGACGAGGCGGCATGATTCTGACAGAAGACACCAACTATTAGAATACTCACAAAGACACAGGACTGCCAAACCTAGGCTCTGATACCAAGCTGACACACCCCGACCGAGATCAGGGCATGCTGTCCGTCACTCGAAGTGACGTAGCCATGTGCGCGTGCGGAAGCTAATTAAGAAGGTAATATAAAAGTACTAATAATTAAAAACCTAATAACGTACAAAGTACTAGTGTATGTGAGACACAATTCAGAGCAAGTCTACAACAGTCCAAAAGGAAAAGATACGACATATTTACACCCGAAGGTGACCCTACAATGGTGAGTGTCTGTCAGAAATGCCGGGACGCCCTCTGGGATAAACCACTGAACCTTCTAGACCACTAGAACCTGGAGGGGCGCAAAAACAAAAGCGTGAGTGGGCAAAAACAAAGTTCTTTGAAAACTCTTTAGCAAAATACATTATAACCCCTCGCCGTAAAACCTGTATACTTCCCAGAAAATGAACATATATACGTATGTATAGATATGTCAATCATGCTCCACAATATGCCATTCATGCTCACAATATGCCATTCATGCTTGAGAATATGCCACAACAGAATCTCATGATCAAATATAAATGCTCAAGCGTAATTCACATCGAATATATATAATATGGCAGCCGGGAGTCACCTAACGTGACCTGTACGGCTGAATCTAGAGCTCCACTCTCAACTCAATAACTGAATCTGCACACGAGTCGGAACCACCTAACGTGGTCTGTACGACAGGCTGGGTGTAATATATATATGTATGCTCTAGTGCTACGATCACGTGAAGCTGGGCGATAAATCGCGGGTCACCTACAAGTCGGAACCACCTAATGTGGTCTGTACGACAGGCTTGCACCTATCTTGGATCCAAGGCGAGCATGCGGTGCTGGTGAACATACACGTGAAGGCTGTGCCCTGGCCCTGGGCGGGAGCACTAACACCGGGGGTGCAGATTATGAGCTCTCTAAACCTCTCAAACTACCATTGCATAATAAACAGGAATGCATAACCACATGAATACCGCTTACCTGGCACTTACCTGTGCGTCCACAGCACCAAATACGCATTTATATATATGTATGCCACTACTAATACATGCGATGATGCGTAAACAATATTCAAATTATGCATGGCATAAAACATATAACCTTTTCTATTTAATTTCTGGGAATTAATATGTATATAGGTATATACGGAAAACAAAAGCCCACTCACTGGTAATTAGAAGGGTCGTAGCCCCCCTGCCTCGAGTGCGTACGCTCGTCCTCGGAAAACGAATCACCTATACGCGACAAAGTTACGAAAACATTAATTTAAAAGCACCTAAACAACTTCTCGTAATAACTTCTCATACATTGCTCAAATTGGACAAATGAATATACCAACGTGACCTACACAACCTCAGGATCACGCCCATATTTTTAGAAAAATTTTTGGACCACGCACGCGCCCCCACGCGCCGGCCAAGGCACGGACCTACGCGCCCCCCACGCGCGGCCACGTGCCAGGCACACTGACGGTGTCAACAGACGCCGTCAGGAATATTCCGTTAACTGACGGAATATTCCGTCAAATCTAACTGGATTCCGTCACTGCCGTTAGGAATATTCCGTTAGACTTAACGGAATATTCTCCTTTCTTCTCCGGCGAGACTCCGGCGCCGGCGACGGCGCCGGAAAACTGGGTAATTTTCAAACTAAGTTTTCTCCTTCGTTTTTCAACCATTTTTCACGTTCTTTATACCAAAATGAAGCTTAGGACTAGTAGAACAACGTTAGACTAGTTTTAAGGCCTAAAAATCACACGATCATACCTGCAACAACGATCAAAGTTCGGCCAACTTTGAACCTAGCCTTCCCAACGTCCAAATTCACCCAACGAACCACTCCGAGGCTCCTTGGGACCTCACAAACACATCTACAAGCTTAGAAATTCCAAAAACACACTAGTTTAGGTTTGCATGAACAGTGCAATAATTCGGCCATTGTTGAAACGACGTGAAAACGTTCGAATTCTTACCTGGAATTGGTATGGTTGTGCTCCTCACAACCTCACGAGTTCAATGGTGTAATTGGTTTCTTGATTGGTGAAGGTTTTGAGTGTGTTTGTGTGTAAAACCGTATGTTGAAGAAGAAGAAGAAGAGAGGAACTCGGGGAGAGAGAGAGACTGAGAGAGAGAGAAGAGACAGAGTGAGGGAATGAGGGAGGGAATCCCGGAAAGTGAGGGTGATGTGTGAGTGTGTGTGTGGTCCTACAACACCACACTACACAACACTTAACGTACACAAACAAATTAGGGTAAAATTGTAATTTCAATGTACGTTTTAAAAATCCCGGGACGGGATGTTACATAAAGTCCTAAAAATCTTATTTCATTAAAAAAAATACAATTCAACTTCAATCCTCCTCTTCCGAGGCAACAGCACCTCGCCTCACATCCCGTAGCACATCAAACTGCCACTGCCAGAAACATTTCCTGAAAAGCTCATCCAGATACTTCTGTCCCTTCTCATCGGTTTCGTCAACATCCCAATAAACCTACATTAATGCCAATAACAATAAATTAGTAATTCAAAAAATGCTACATTTTAACAAAAATAATTATACATTATGTAATACAAACTTACCGATAACTCCCTCAGCATGGATTTCTTCAACTCCTTAGGCACCTTTTTCCAAGACTCAAACTTGGCAGAACATTTCATCCACACCAAATAGCCAATATCATAAATAAGTTTGGCGTACGCCTCAGCCATACTTTTTTCTTCAAAGTAGGGCACTTGCATACATCAATACCTCTCTACTCGCAATATAACTTTCCTTCCATGAGAGCCTTCTCCCGAATCGGCCATTACCTTTGAAACAAAATCTTTGAAAATTAGGGTTCTGAAATTATGTTTATATAGGACTCAGAACACTTTGCGCGACAAACATCTTCGTCACGCAATGTCCTTATTCATCGTGTAAAACGAGTCATGAATGTGTAGTAAATAGGAACAGTTAGAAGGCATTTTGACCGTTTCAGTGAAACTTTACGCAATGAAAATGTGGAAATTTTTTGCGCAACGAACGTGATTCATTGTAATTATGAAGTTTACGTAAATTTCATAATTACAAACAAATATTCAGTTATAATATTTATTCTAAAAATAATTAAAACCTTAATTAAATTGAATTAATTTATTAAATTATTTTAAAAAACCAAACAGGAATTAAAGCATAATTAAGTCCAAATACGGAACCTATAAAAAACCTTAAACTTAAATATTGTCCTCAAAAACATAAATTTAAAACTATTATTTCGATGGTCTTCCATTCCGCTCCACATTATAACGCCACCGCTTTTAACTTGCCTTCAACGCATCCTCCATCAACTTCATCAACTCTTTGTTCGTATCATCATCAAGAGTATACTTACACTGTTATGCAAATAATTAATTCCAATATATAACAAAAAAAAATTATAAAATGAATTATTTATCTATCAACATTATACTTACTAATAATTGATCCATCACCGCCTTCTTCAAATTCTCTGGCACATATTTCCAAGAACGCCACTCAACAATAGGACAATTATTCTGCATGGCTACACCTATCGCATGCGCGAACTCCACATGTTGCCTCATATCATACAGGTTGGCAAGCATCCTCTGATCCCGGTTTTTATCATCCATCGCAACAGGAACAGAATTGTGGAGAATAAGAAGAGCAGAAGCTCATATTTATAGGAAGGTTAGGGCCTTTGCTCGACGAAGGCTTGTCACGCAAACCTTTGCACAACAAAAGCTTTGTCGCACAAACATCTATACTAAATACAGTATTGATTTCTCTAATTTACATGCACTAAATGATTTGACTCAAAACTTACAGTAACTTGCGCGACGAAGCCTTTGTTGTGCAAAGTTTTTTTTTTCTTTCCTGCCTTTTTTGGGCGACGATAATATTTTTTCGTCACACAGTACCTCTTTTGTGACGAAAAATGTTACGTCACGCAGGCTGTTTTTCCTACTAGTGGAATTTCATTAGTACTAGTTTGATATAGTCCCAACTGAGAAAATCATACGCTTTTTTTAAATTAAGCTTGATAGCCATGGCTCCAAACTTACCTTTCTTACCCTTGAAAGAGGAGAAAATTTCATGCGTAATAAGAATGTTGTCCTATATAAATCTTCCAGGAGCAAACGCACGTTGATTCCTGGAAATGCAATTCATTAGTAAAGGTTTAATCCTATTGACCATAATCTTAGTTATAATCTTGTAAGTGGCATTACACATGCTAATCAATCTAAAATTAGAAACCAATTCAGGGTTTTCTACTTCAGGGATTAGAGAAATATTTGTGTGGTTTATTAACCTTAGGCTAGAGCTTGTGTTGAAAAGGTTTCTAATCATGTCAGCAACTAAACGGCCCACAAGGTCCCAACAATTTTGATAAAACGCGCCATCAGGTCCTGGAGCTTTTAGAGCCCCAATTCTTTTAACAACTTGAAGCACATCTCCCTCCAAAATAGGCTTATTCAGCAAAGAGTTGTGCTCTTCATTGATGCATGGTTCAATGATATCCACACAGTTATCAAGGCCTAGAATAGAAGTGATGGTGGAAGCAGTGAATCTAAATTTGAAATCTTCAACAAAGATATTTTCCATTCCTTCACCTTTCCACCACCAATTACCCTGATGGTCATTTATTTTGGAAATTTCATTCATTTTCTTCCTAATGTTAGTCACTGTTTGGAAATATTTTGTATTTCTGTCTCCAAGCTGGAGCCAATTAACTCTGGCGTTTTTAGCCCATCAGTAGGTTTCCTCATTTCTCATAACTTGATTTAATTGGTTTTTAATTGCAATTTCATTATTTATCAAATTACTAGGATCAGGCATACTCATAATATCCTGTTGGATTCTATCTAACTCACTAACGAGCTCCTTATTCCACTTCATAATTAGAAATTTGAATCTTTCTAAGTAGCCCATAACCTTACCTCAAGGGTTACCAGAAATGTTATCACTCCAAGCTTTGCTCACAACTGTTTTAAATTCCAGATAGGATAACTACTTAGCTTCAAACTTAAAACATATTAGTTCTTAACGTACCAACATTAACACTATTGTTAAAGTCCTATAAGATTGGACTATGGTCTGAACAAAAGATAGGATAATTATGAAGGGAAACATTAGGAAATAAATTTAACCATTCAGTATTAGCAATGGTCTTGTCAAATCTTTCATAAATGATAGTATTATCTTTGTGACCATTACACCAAATGAAAGGCACATCAGAAGCAGGGATAGAAATTAAATTGCCTTCACTCAAAAAATTGTTATAATGTATCATATGATTATTGATCTCCTATCTCCTCCAACTTTCTCACTAAGATTAGTAATATTATTAAAATCACCCAAGATAATCCAAGGATGACTAGAGTTTCTTGCAAGATTAAGATTGATAATATTATTTCAGAGTTAAGGTTAAAGATTCTTTTGAGGGTAAGCATACACAAAAGTAAAAAAGAAAATGTTAGCTTGTTTATATCTAGCTTCACAATGAACGAATCTAGAATTGTGGGCAAGCACATTCATATTAATATTAAGATCATTACAACAAAGGAAAAGACCACCAGTCCTCTCATCCCCCACAAGCAAAAAACACATTCGAGAACATCTTGGAAAATAAATTATTAAGACCCCTATCAAAGTTGGACTTAGGTTCTACAATACAAAAAAAATCTAAATGACTTAAACAACAAAGTAAATTAAACTGAGAGGCAAAATTAGGCATGCCCCAGACCTTACAGTTCCACAACAGCGACTTCATTAATCAACATCCTCCGAATTAGCTTGGGCCCAAACCACCTTTAGCTTCACTCCTTACCCTCTTTCTATTACCTCCAGCATGAACCTGCTCAATCTCACCATCCTCAATTTCCATGACAATCCTCATCATCATTCACAACTATAATCCTTTTCTAATGTAGTCTCAAATCCACTTCAAGAAGCACCCTAATGAACAAGCCATTGAGACCAGAAAGAGTAGTGTAGAAAATGATTTTCCCTTATTTGTTCATTCACTGAATTACAAGATATATAGAACATATTTGATACAATAATTAATTACAATTGAAATCACCAAGTCAACCCTATACAATCATTCTAAATATAACTCAATCAAGAGGATTGGGGAAAGATTTGTGGAGATGATGGAATCTTGCTAACACCCCCCCCCGCAAACTGGACGGCCTCGGTTGTACAAGTTTGGAGCAAAGAAAGGTGTGACGCGGCTTGTGCAGTGCTTTAGTAAGAACATTAGCTGGCTGATCGATGGATGGCACAAAAAATACACGATGACTACCAACAGTAACCTTTTCACGGACGAAGTGGTAGTCAAGTTCAATGTGACGAGTGCGAGCATGGAAGACAGGGTTGGCAGCCATGTAGGTGGCGCTGAGATTGTCGCAGTAAAGGTGAACAGGAAACTGTATAGAGACATCTAGCTCATAGAGAAGATAGGATAACCATGTTGTTTCTGCACAAGAGTGAGAAAAAGACCTGTATTCGGACTCGGCACTAGATCTAGCAATAGTGGGCTGTTTCTTGGAGCACCATGAGACAAGGTTTGAACCCAAGTAAATTAAGTAACCACTTGTAGAGCGGCGTGTATCAGGGCACCCCGCCTAGTCGGCATCGGAATAAGCACAAAGGCGTGCAGTTCGTAATTGAGGTGTAAGGATAAGACCATGATCGAGGGTCCCTTTGACGTACCGAAGAATACGCTTGGCGGCAACAAGATGAGAAGCACGAGGGGCACTCATAAACTGAGAAACTGTATTCACCGCATAAGTAATGTCGGGACGTGTCAAGGTAAGATATTGAAGGCAGCCAACAAGTTCGCGAAACTCCGTGGGAGAAGAGAGGAGAGAACCATCAGTATTGGACAAAGCCACCTTTGTAGCAATGGGTGTAGTGACGGGCTTGCAATGTTCAAGATTGTGCTTTTGTAACAAATCATGAGCATATTTTAATTGATTGATGTGTAGGGAATCACCATGAGTAAGAACCTGCAATCCCAAAAAATATTGAAGTGGACCAAGATCTTTGATGTCGAAACCACTGCCCAATGCATCAATAAAACTTTGTAGCAAAACAGTATCACTACCAGTGAGAACAATGTCATCAACATATAAGAGCAAAAATATGGTGTGAGGACCAAACCGATAAATGAAGAGGGATGGATCAGCAACACTTTGTGTGAAACCGGCAGTGAGGAGGAAGGAGCTAATGCGATGGAACCATGCTCGGGGCGCTTGTTTGAGACCGTAGAGAGATTTGTATAACTTGCATACATAATGGGGACGATCAGGGTCAACGAAACCGGGAGGTTGAGTCATGTAAACATCTTCTTGGAGGTGCCCGTGAAGAAATGCGTTTTTGACATCGAGTTGGCGTAGTGACCAACCACGAGAAATGGCAACACTGAGAACCGTTCGAATGGTGGTAGGGTTTACGACGGGGCTAAAGGTCTCCCCATAATCAACTCCGGGCTGTTGATGAAAACCCTTGGCGACTAAACGAGCATTATAACGCTCAATAGATCCATCAGGCTTTCGTTTAATCCGGAACACCCACTTAGAACCAACCGTGTTATGATGAGGTGAAGGAGGAACGAGAGACCATGTATTATTTTTAAGGAGAGCATTGATCTCTTCGGACATTGCAGAGCGCCAAGCATGACTCTTGGAGGCTTGAGAAAAGCAGGTGGGCTCAAGATCAGAGAGTGTTGTGAGAAGGGCTTTGGGCAGGGGATAGCGGACGATGCCATCGGTGGAAGTCTTGGGCTTGGTGATGCCAAGTCGGAGACGTGTGACCATGGGATGCATAGATGGAGCAGTGGTGACAGGTGGTTCGTGATCCATAGGACTAACATTGGAAGGCATCATGGAATCTGCATGGGGTGCATGCGGTGAGACAATGGGCAGTGCAGTCGGTGCAGTCGGTGCAGGCTGTGCAGTCGGTGCAGTTGGTGCATCATCACATGATGCTTGCGGTGGAATAGGTGTTGTCGGTGAAGGCTGTGGAGCTGTAATAGAGGCAGCAGCTGGGGCCCGCGAGGTGGGAGGTGAGCTCGGCAGATTACTGGAGGAAGAAGTAATCTGCGGAGGAAGAGAAGGCAAGGGTATATGAAGGCTCGGCAGCGGGGGCTGCGGAGGTGCGATAGGTTGAATGTCCAACAAAACGGTGGGAGAGTCATGAGGGACCTGCAATTTAGTAAAAGGAAAATAATCTTCTTGAAAAATTACATGACGGGAGATATAGACACGACCAGTGGATGGGTGGAGACACCTATAACCTTTATGACTTGGACTGTAACCGATGAAGACACATTCTAAAGAGCGAGGAGAGAGTTTGTGGGATGTATAAGGACTGAGGTTAGGAAAGCATGAACAACCGAAGACACGGAGATGAGAGTAAGAGGGAGAGCGATGGAAGATTTTGGCATATGGAGATTCCCAATTTAGGAGGGGTGTAGGAAGAAGATTAATGAGATGAACCGCGGTGAGAGCCGCTTCAGTCCAATAGGAAGGTGGTAAATGTGCAGTATGAAGAAGGGTGCGAATCATGTCTGCAATATGGCGATGTTTGCGTTCGGCGACACCATTTTGTTGAGGGGTGTGAGGACATGAGAACCGTTGTTGGATACCCAAGGTGGTGCAAAAATTGGCAAAGGCATTGTTCACATATTCGGTACCATTGTCACTTTGTAAGATTTTAATACTAGAGTTGAAGAGATTTTGTGCCATGGCAACAAATGTTTGAAAGTGGGTAAACACTTCGGATTTACGGCGCATGGGATAAATCCAAGAGTAACGTGAAAAATCATCCGTAAAAAGAACATAATACCGAAAACCACTAATAGATGGCACATGAGACATCCAAACATCGGAGTGAATGAGATGAAATGAAAGGGAGACTGAAATATTACGGTTCGAAAACGGTAGTTGAGTGGATTTGCTGATAGCACAATCCGTACAAAATGTCTTATTAAAGTTTATTGCTTTTCCTAACAAAGATCCTAGGTGGGAAAGAACAGAAGACGACAAGTGACCGAGACGACGATGCCATGTAGAGGAGTGAAGAGTGGAAAGAGCTTGAGGAGCAAGGGGTTGACGGATGGAAGAAAGTTGAAGAGGATATAAGCCATCTTCACAGGGGCCCTGAAATAAGAGTGCACCGGTGAGCAAATCATAAATTTGATAGAAATCTGGGGCAAAAAGGAAATATACACGATTATCTTTGGTGAAACGAGCAACGGAAAGTAAATTTTTGCGAATGGCGGGAATGCGAAAAACATCACGAAGAGTGAATGTAGAAGAGCCCAAGGAAAATGGAAGAGTACCGGTGTGGGTAACATGCATGGAATCCCCGTTACCCATAAATACATGTTGATTACCATTGTAGGGATACGGGTTTTGAAGAGATGTGCCGGGACCTGTCATGTGGTGAGTGGCGCCGGTGTCAGGATACCAAACGGGATCGGCCACAGCAGCAGATTGAGCCATATGTGCACCAGCAAATGGAGGAAATTGGGCAGGACCAGTGTACCTGTGCGGGTAGTGAGCCTGATTATGTTGATTGGTGTTGCAATTGGGACACCAGGTTGGAGGAGGGCCCAACAAGCCGTTAGTTGAAGCAGACCAAGGAGAGGGGCGTGGAAGCCATGGTTGCGGACCTTGCGTCGGGGGAGGAGGGAAGCCATGATTATTGTTGTACCGGCGGTGAGAGATCCGGTTGTTGCGGTAATTACCACCACGTCCAGTATGGTTTCGATGGAAACCCTTGTGATTATGAGGCTTATGTCCAGGGAAATGTTGAGGTGGGGCTGGGTTTTGAGGAGCCGATGGTGGGAGGTGGTTATTAAAGAGAGCATGAGAGGATGGAGATGATGCGGTGAAGGTGGGGTCTTGGGCTTCAAATGCGAGAATGCGAGAGCGAAGTTCAGTGAAGGTTGGGAGAGAAGAACTTTGAAGAATGGCAGTTCGAAGCATGAGATATTCGGGACCAAGGCCTCGAAGAGTGAGGGTGACTAAATACTCAGGATCCACAGGTTTGTTTATTGCAGCCAAGGAGTTAGCAATGTGTTTGACTTGGAGCAAGTATTCATTAAGAGATTTGGTCCCTTTTGTGAGGTCGAGAAGTTGAAACTGGAGGGATGCAGAGCTAGCAATAGAGGTTTGGGAAAAATGGTGATGAAGACATTCCCAGATGGCTTGGGCTGTCTCACAACCAATGGTAAGAGAAATTATAGGCTTAGTCAGCGTAGTGGTAATGTAACTGACCACAAGTTGGTCTTGTTGAATCCATGTGAGCAAGGCCGGATTAGGTATAGGGACAGGAGCAGCAGGAGCATCGGTGGGGGAAGGAGGGGTGGAGCGCACGGCAAGAATGGTGGCTGAAGGTTTTGGGTGAGAGCCATCAACGAACTTGTAAAGTCCTTGGCCAATAAGAAAGGGTTTCATCTGGGGAAGCCATTCAGGATAATTGTCTTCATCTAATTTCAGGAAGCTAGCAATACTAGGGCCAGAAGAGGCAGCCATGGGAGAAGAAGCAAGGATCGGCTAGGGTTTTTCGAGAAGAAGGAGCCTAGACCTAGGTGATACCATGTAGAAAATGATTTTCCCTTATTTGTTCATTCACTGAATTACAAGATATATAGAACATATTTGATACAATAATTAATTACAATTGAAATCACCAAGTCAACCCTATACAATCATTCTAAATATAACTCAATCAAGAGGATTGGGGAGAGATTTGTGGAGATGATGGAATCTTGCTAACAAGTAGTCTCATCCAATCTGATAAAATTACCCACATGTTGAGTAATCCACCTCTAGAATCTCAACATCTATGTACTGAACCGATACTCTAGGAATCCTCACTTATACCCTCAAATTAGAAACAAGATCAGTATCTCTAAATGAACACTTCTCCATATGGAAGATCTACCCCCGGACATACCATGTCATATTATATAAAGCAAACTCCAACTCTTCATCATCAGTAAACTCAATAACATACCATAAAAGCCCAAAATGATCCAAGTAAAATGGTTTCTTAACTCTTGCACCCCAAGTTAATCCCAGCTTCCACTTAATGGTCCTAGCATCCAATTGCATACCCACCAGCTTGCCCATAAGAACTATGCTCTCCATGTATTCAACATTAAGGTTGGAGTAAAGACTGGTTGACACTCTGGTAACACCACTCTCTAACGTGAAGGTACCACGAGCACCTTCAACCACAACTGGGGGTTAACCAGGTAGGGGGTTGGCAAACTTGTTAGCCCAGGCTGAGATTCTTGGGCTAGTAGGGATTCGGGCATGTTGGGAAGAGGAAGCTTCAAGTTGGGAAATGACCTTCATGGTTGTGGGATAAAAGCTCAGAGAAAAGTTCGACGAAGCTAAATGTTAACTTAATCTAAGTGACCAGCGACTATAAATACTATCCAAAGAGCAACTTAAGATACTCTAACCACGGTAAGCAAACACGAGCAAAACATGAAGAGACACATACAAGCTCCAAGGAGTAATTATTAGCTTGCAAACATTAAAACCAAACCAGTGGGCAAAGAACGCATGCTTGATCTCAAAAAACAGAACAAAGGGAAACAAACATATATAACAAACCAAGAGATAGCACTTAAGCAATCATGATTAAACCTAAAAATTGAAATCTCAGCCAAATCAAGAGGTCTGTTTAGCTTCCTACGTGTTATAATTAACCCCGCCAAATTTGAAGCAATGACACCCAAGACATACCTTGCACGCTCCGCCTAGTAAATCATCAATATTGCTGCGGCAGATGTTAGTGTTTGTGATTGGTGATATGTGCTTCAATGGAGATTCTATGCAAGGAAAGACAGACAGAGCTCAAGAAGAAGATGAAAGGAAATATGCTTCTCTCATTTCACACACTGAACACGCATACATTTTGTTATTGTTGCACACGGAAGGAAGGGAGATCCTTCACACTTCAATACACAACATAATCTCAACCATTCATTGGTATGATCCTATGAGATAATGCCACGTGTCTAATTCTATTACTTAAAACTAAATACAACATTGAGTAACCATGTGGAGTATGATCCAATGGCTGACATTCAAACTGAAATGGAAAACATTTGTGAAATGATCTCAGCCATCAATTTCCTGCTGAAGGGTTACATTCCAACACTCCCTTCTAACTCTTTAGCTGATTTAACTCCAAGTAACTCCCTTAGATACACAAACCGGTCTTTAGGCAAAGCCTTAGTAAGGATATCTGCAATCTACTCCTCTGTCCTGCAGTACACTAGCTCAATTTCTTTGGCTTGAATTGCTTCTCAGATGAAATGAAACTTCCTGTTGATGTGTCTTGTCTTCTGATGAAAAACTAGATTCTTTGCCATAGCAATGGCTAATGTGTTATCACACATGATCTGAGTTCCCTCCACTTGTTCTTCTCCAAAGTCTTCTAGGACAAACCTCAACCATTTTGCTTGTGATGTAGCTTCTGCAGCACTGACATATTCTGCTTCTGCAGTAGACAATGCCACAGTGTTTTGTTTGATTGAAGCCCATGAGAACATACCAGACCCTACCCTGAAGTGCTTATCATATCATCCTCACTTCCAGCCCAGTCACTGTCACAGTAACCAATTAGAGTAGTTGCTTTGCCTCTATCGAAAATAATTCCAAAATCAAATGTTCCCTGGATGTACCTCAGTACCCTTTTGGCTGTTCCCATATGTTTCTTGGTAGGATTGTGCATGAATCATGACAATAGACTTGCTGCAAACATCACATCAGGTCTAGTTGCAGTCAAATATAGCAAACTTCCAACAAGCTGTCTATATTCTCCTTCATCTGCAGCCTCACTCCCATCAATTTTGTTCAATTTCTCATTCATGGCAAGTGGAGTAGCAACTGGTTTGCAGTCTTTCAAGCTAAACTTCTCAATTAGCTTCTGTGCATATTTCTTTTGGTGTATAAAAATATTATTCTCAGTTTGGAGCACACCTATTCCAAGGAAATGATGTAATAAACCCAAATCAGTCATCTCATAGTGTTTCATCATGTCATTTCTAAACTCTTCAAGCATTTGTGGACTGCTACCAGTGTAAACAATGTCATCTACATATAGGGAGACAATAATGATACCAGAGTCCTTCCTTGTCTTAACATACAAGGTTGCCTCACTTGAACTTTTCTCAAATCCTGCACTATTGAAGTATGCATTAATCTCATCATACCAGGCCCTTGGTGCCTGTTTCAAACCATAGAGAGCCTTGTTCAGTTTGTACACCTTTGTTTCTTCACTTTCCTTCACAAAACCTTGAGGTTGTTCGACATACACTTCTTCCTTTAATACTCCATTGAGGAATGCAGACTTCACATCTAATTGATATAAGTTCCATTTCTTCTGTGCAACAAGAGCAATCAAGGTTCTAATCGTGTCCAACCTTGCCACAGGGGCAAAGGTTTCATTATAGTCAATTCCAGGCTTTTGTGAATAGCCTTTAGCCACCAGTCGAGCTTTGTTCTTCTACACAGTACCATCCAGATTAAGTTTGGTCTTGTAGACCCACTTAACACCAATAACAGGCTTGTCATATGGTCTCTCAACAAGCTGCCATGTGTTGTTCTTTTCTATCATATCCAGTTCAGCTCTCATTGCACTCCTCCATGACTCATCCTTAGCTACATCATCATAATTTTCAGGTTCAATAACACACATGTTGCATTGAGCCATGATCTCATTCATACTTCTCCATTTCTTAGGTGTATCATCATGTGCTTGAGATCTATCAAACATATTCTCACTTTGAGAAACAGTATATTCCTCAGAGTGAGAATTCTCACCAATCTCACAGTTTTCATTAGCATCCTGATGGTCATTACTGACTGGAAATGTTATTCCAGTATCTTCATTGCAGTTCCAATTCCAGGAAGCACCTTCATCAAATATGACATCTCTTGAGAGGACAATTATCCTTGAAATTAGATCAAACAGTCTGTAGCCTTTCTCACTTGCACCATAACCAACAAAGATACATTTGTGACTATTCTCTTCTAACTTGTGTCTAAGATTAGAAGGTATGTGAACATAGCAAAGGGATCCAAATATCTTCAAGTGAGTTATTCCAGGTTTTCTTCCACTATATGCCTCAAATGGTGTTGTCTTTCTCAAAGCTTTGGATGGACACCTGTTAAGCAAATACATTGCAGTATTGACTGCCTCTGCCCAGAACATGTATGGAAGACCCTTCTCATGCAACATTGACTTTGCCATTTCCACTATAGTCTTATTCTTCCTCTCTGACACTCCATTTTGTTGAGGAGTGTAAGCCATAGTTAATTGTCTTTGGATTCCCAGATCACTGCAATATCCAGTAAAGTCTGCAGAAAGGAATTCTCCTTCTCTATCACTTCTGAGGCATTTTACCTTATATCCACATTGTAGCTCAGTCATTGCCTTAAACTTCTTAAAACATCAAAATGCATCATACTTATTTCTCAGAAAATACACCTATGACATCCTTGTGCAGTCATCTGTGAATAGCAAGAAGTACTTGTTTCCAGAATGAGATTCAACTTGCATTGGACCACAAATATCTGTGTGAACTACCTCCAGTGGATCCTTAGCTCTCCAAGCCGATTTAGAAGGAAATGAGTCTCTGTGTTGTTTGCCTAGCATACACCCTTCACACATATTTGTGGACATCTCTAACTTAGGCAGTCCCTGTACCAGATTCTGTTCTTCAAGCAATTTCAGACCTCCTTCATGCAAGTGACCCAGCCTTTTATGCCATATCTGAGAGCAGTGTGTGACACTTGCTTTTAGAGCACACTGAGTTACAGGCATCATTGTCAAGGGAAAACATCTATTTGCAGTCATATGTACTCTTACTACCAAGTTGTCAAGTGACCAACCATCAAAAACATTCACTACATCACCTCCAAACAACAGATAATAGCCGTGTTCCATCATCTGTCCTACACTGAGAAGATTTTCCTCAAGTCCAGGAACAAGCATCACTTCTTGTATATGTTTTCTTCCCAGTTTAGTCTCAATCACCAAAGTTCCCTTTCCTGCCACCTGCACAACTTCTCCAGTGCCCATCTTTACCTTAGAGGTCAAATTTCTTTGAACATCAACCAACAATCTCTCATCACCTGTCATGTGGTTGCTACAGCCACTGTCTATATACCATGAATTATTTACCTTCACATCTGTCACTGCATTGCAAGCATAAAACAATGATCCCATTTCTCTCATCTGCCTTACATAATTAGCCTTCTGCATTCCATTGTTCTCATGACAATCTTTTACAGAATGACCTGGTTTCCCACAGCCTGTGCATTTTGGTTTACCCTCATACCAACACTTCTCATAATGTAACCTGTCACACCATTTGCAATCACCTTGAGAATTGTTTTGTTTCTGAGTATAATTAGGCCTATGATCCCAATCTCTTTGAGTGTTGTTCTGTCTCTGAGCATAATTGGGTTTGTGATCCCAACCTCTTTGAATGTTACTCTGCCTCTGAACAAAGTTAGACTTATGATCCCAACCTTTTCCTCTTGATTTCCAATTCTCTTGAGACCTGTGATTCCCAGAAAATCCACCACTTCTAGCACCCTTAGTTGCAACAGTTAAACTTGCAAATGCTTTCTCAGTAGAAGACTCAACATGTAAATCAAGCCTCTGCTCAAATCCTTTTGGAGAAGCCACAACCTCTTGAACCTCAATAGTCTCAAGATCTCTAGAGTGCTCAATTACAGAACAGATTGCATCATATGTTTTAGGAAGACTAATCAGTAATTTCTGCACTATTCTCTCCCTAGATAATTCTTCTCCATAGCTTTTCATTTGATTAATGATATCAAACAATCGAGAGAGATATATAGATAATGATTCACTATCCTTCATACGAGTATATTCAAAATCTCTACGTAACCCTTGTAATTTTACATTTCTTACTTGTTTATCACCTCGAAATTCACCTTTTAGAGCATCCCAAGCTCCTTTGGATGTCTCTTCATTCACAATTTTGGGAAAAATCTGGTCCGAGACTACGCCTTGAATCATCCCAAGCGCACGAGCATCCTTCATCAGAATCTCACTGAACGACGTTTCACCTGACATCTCCTTCTTCGTCTCGTCAACCGTAGCTTCTTTAGACTTCGGATCTGAAGATTCAAACCCATTTGCAACCAGCTCCCATAAACCATGAGATTTCAGAATGGTTTTCATTCGAATACTCCAGAACTCATAATTCTTTCCATTGAAAACTGGAGCTCTAAGCTCAACATTGCCGGATCCAGCCATATTAGACTTGGATTTAAGCAATCGTAAATTTCCAGATTCGATTTGAGCTTAAGTATGTAGCTCAATCGAACTTCACGAACTCACAGATTTCACGCCCAAATTAGACGATGAAACCTGGTTCTGAGGCCATGTTAGTGTTTGTGATTGGTGATATGTGCTTCAATGGAGGTTCTGTGCAAAGAAAGACAGACAGAGTTCAAGAAGAAGATGAAAGGAAATATGCTTCTCACATTTCACACACTGAACACGCATACACTTTGTTACCGTTGCACACGGAAGGAAATGAGATCCTTCACACTCCAATACACAACATAATCTCAACCATTCATTGGTATCATCCTATGAGATAATGCCACATGTCTAATTCTATTACTTAAAACTAAATACAACATTGATTAACCATGTGGATTATGATCCAATGGCTGACATTCAAACTGAAATGGAAAACATTTGTGAAATGATCTCAGCCATCAATTTCCAGCTGAAGGG